CTATCATTGATGTGGATGAGGATTACTCAGATAATGATCTGATTGCCAATGTAAACCCTAGCATAGCTAGGAGATTGATGAAAAGAAAGGGTAATCAGAATGATGCAAAATGTGTGTCCAAAGATAAACCTGCTGTTAAGAAATCCAAGGCTGAAGGCATGGCTGAGGTAGAATCTGTGAAAATTATTCAGACCAAAGGGAAGAAGGCCCAGGTGCATACTGCTAGACAACCAATTTCAAAGAAGAGAAAAGAACCTGAATCTTCTGATTCTGATGAGGAATTAGAATTTGAGATTGATGCTGAAGAAATTCCTATCAGAAGGAAGCTCCCCTCCAGCAAAATTGCTAGAGTTCCTGAAGTTCCTACAGACAACATCTCTTTTCATCATCCTGACAATGCAAACAGATGGAAGTATGTTTGCTTAAAGAGAATAGCTTTAGAAAGAGAACTCAACAATGATGCATTGGAGTGCAAAGACATCATGGACCTGATCAAGAATGTTGGACTGATGAAGAGAGTGATAAAATTTAACAAGTGTTATGAAAATCTGGTCAAGGAGTTTGTAGTGAACTTGTCTAATGATTGTGCTGATGGAAGGTCAGCTGACTTTGAAAGTGTTTTTGTTAGAGGAAGAAGGGTCAAGTTCTCCCCATCAGAAATTAACAAATTTCTTGGAAGAACAAATGAGGATTGTCCTGATCTGGAGGTCACTGACAATGAAGTTTGTCAAACCATCACAGCAAGGCAAGTGAAGTGCTGGCCCTTGAAAGGCAAGCTGAATGCCAGCAAACTCAGCATCAAATTTGCCATCCTGCACAAGATTGGTGCAGCCAACTGGGTGCCTACAAATCATAAATCAACTATCTCCACAGGATTGGGGAGATTTATTTATGCTGTGGGAACCAAGACTGCTTTTGACTATGGCAGGTACATCTTTGAACAAACTTTAAAACATGCTGGTAGTTATGCTGTCAAAGGACCAATCGCCTTTCCCTCCCTCCTTTGTGGAATTATCCTTGCACAATACCCTGATATCCTGGTGGCAAGAGATACAGCCTGCAAAAGAGCTCCTGCCCTGGCTTGCACTACAAACTGTTTCAGGGATCTCATGCTCCAGATATTGTCATAACATCAGCTGAGACATCGTCTGTGAAGACCCAGTCCAAAACATCTGATGTCATAGCTGTTTTAAAAGATACCTGCAAAGAGCTGGATGCTAGGAAAAAGACCCTAGAAATCCTAATTGCCAGGTTAGAAAAGGAGGAAGCTGAAGGAAACAGAAGGGAAGAAGGTGTAGAAGCTGAAGGTCATCTCAACATTGAAGAAACTAGCTCCTCTGAGTCTGATGACAGTGCTTAAAGGTTGGTTGCTGTTTGGTGGTGTTGCTGGTTGGTGCTGATATCTGGTGGAGTTTGGAAGTGTGTTCAGTTTTTTTTTCTCTCTGCTGCTGCTCTTATTATTTTTGGATAACTGTATAATCTTTATGAACATGTATCTTTGGCCCATTTGTGGCTAAAGAGGGGGAGAATATTTTGTTACTTACTTAATTAGTACCTGCTTAATTAGTCATTCTATTTTTCTGCAGTCACTTATTTCTGCTGCTATCTATCTCTGATTGCTTAGGGTCTTTAGCCAAAAATCTGCCAAAGGGGGAGTTTGTAGTTGTTTAGGTATTGGCTTTCATTTTTGGTAAAACCCAAGTGTATGTGTGAATGTCATGACTGATGTCATAACATTCTAGTTTAGTTTGTACTGATTCATTAGGTACCTTTCCAGAAAAATATTGTCATTCAGGTACTGATGTTTATAAGTGTGTATCTGAGCATTTTGCAAAATGATCACATTTTCCTAAATCAGTAGACAGGTTTTTCAGATGTCATAACAGATGTTAAGACATCCTGTTCTGAACTAACAGATATGCAGGTTGGTTAATTCTGAGTTTTTTCAGGAAAATAACTCAGTCTTTCCATAACAGAATCCTGCGTTTTCTTTGGGTTAACCTAGCTCAACCCTAACCTGGTTAATAAAGTCCTGTGACCTAGTCTTAAGGTCAAACGGAATTAACCCTAGGTTTTTGTGGAAACCCTAACTGAAGTTGCAGCTGCTATATATTCAACAGAGCTGCTGTTTTGCAAGTAATCCCTTTTTTGGTCAAAAGATCATTTGTAAACTGTATAGGTTTAACTATTGTACTTCAAGCAATTATCATTGTGATAAGTGACTTGGAATAGGTTTTTAATTGTAAGGGTTGTGTAGCACTCAAAGCTTTGAAGCAAGAGTGTTTGAATGTTTCTTGACTAAAGCTGTGAAGCAGAGTCAAGTTAGTTGTGTGTATCACTCAAAGCTGTGAAGCAAGAGTGGTTGTGGTGCTTGATTAAAAAGTTGTGAAGCTTAATCAAGTGTATTTTTTTGAAGAGTGTCTTCATCAATTCATTAGTCAAATTGTTTTATGTATCACTGCTGTGATTGAGGGGGGGTGAGTAGGAACTCAGGTTTAAGTTGTACTTAGATTGAAATTGCATTGGGTAGGTCTTAAGTGAAGGAGATAAACTGGTTGGTTTATTCCTGAATTAACATCTCTTATAGTGGATTTCCTCCCTGGCTTGGTAGCCCCCAGAGTAGGTGTTGTTGCACACTGAACTGGGTAAACAATTGACTGTGTTCTTTATTACTTTTGTATTTACTGTCATATAGTAAGTCAGATACGGTGTCATAACATTGAACGTGACATTAAGTATCTGCAGCCAGAATTTCAGGTTCCTTTTCCGTACCATTGAAAGGTAGTTGATTGAGGATAGGAATTCTCAGGAGTTGAGAAAATTCCTCCAACGTGGGCACCAACTGGTAGTCGGGGAAAGTGAAACAGTGGTGAAGAGGGTCAAATAACTGGAATAGCACTTTCATCATGTCCTCTTCAATGTTGGTGTTGACTAAGCTGAGCAGTCTACCATGTCTTTCACTGAAGGGAGAGCTTTCCGGAATTCTTGATGTGAGCTCCTTGAGTTGAGGAGGGATTCTCACAAGGTTGACTTGGATGGTTTTTCTGCGAGGAATTTCCATGACCTACAAAACAAGAACAAAGATGAAGATCTAAACCCTTGAAGTGGTTAGTAAATGCATATGATGCTTTATGATGTTCATGATGTATGCACAAACATATGTACAAGCAATTCACACCAAACCCTAGTTTCAGGATTGCATGGGGTTTCATAGGTAAGTACCCTCTTGAGTGTAGTTGGCTTAAAAACCTGTCCTATAAATAGTAACCGGGTTCTAAGGAGCTCAATATCACTGGATTGTTTTCATTGTTCATTGTTTTGGTTTAGCCACTTAACTAGCGACCAAAATATTCCAAGAAAACAACCCTCAATGAGTGTAGTATCGAGTATCTACCAACTTCGGACTGCACCAAAGCCGATCATCTCACTACCCCTAATGAAAGGCCAAGATGGTCAAGTAAGGTTCTAGGTCATTAGTGCTTAGTGACATCACTCAGCGGCCCCGTACTCTCCTTGATTGAACTCAAGGGTTACCGGTACTCACAAATATGTCGCACTAATATAGCTATTGCTTCGACTGTGTCGGTATACCCCGCACAATTTCCACAACATATTGCTATCTATGAATGTTTCCCAAAATCCGGGTGTAGGATTGTAAACCCAAACAAGAAAGCCAAGATATAAAGCAATCAAAACAAACAATTAGTCATGCAAGAGGGTGATCTAAGCCCTAAGGTTACTCCACTTAAAAAAATATCCCCAGCAGAGTCGCCAGTTCTGTGATACGGTGGGAGAACTGACTTGAGTTTTGCGTTTATTTTCGCAAATGTTTCGGTTGAGCAAGAGTCGCCACCGACTTTTTATTTTATCCTAAGGAAAGGTTAAAAAGCACAACAAAAACCTTTGAGATGTTTTCTTGGGTTCGGGGAGTAGATTATAGAAAGGGAAGGTATTAGCACCCTTTATATCCATGGTTATCCATGGGCTCTTAGTTACTTGCTTAGATCAACTTGTCTTGATTTTCAATTGTTTGAAATGGTGCTTTGTGTATGGATTTTGAAAATGTTTTGAAAAGAGGCCAATGTGGTGGCAACCTTTGTAATGATCCATGTTGGGATGTATACAAAGGTGTATGTCTTTTGAAAAGGTTTTCAATGTTTTTGAAAGTTGTTTTGAAAGTGTAGTGACACTACGAAAAAAACATTTTTTGGCAGCGCATCTACGAAAGCGCTTTTAAGAGAAAGCGCTTTCGTAGCCTTTAAAAAAAATTCGCTTAAAAAAAGCGCTTTTATAGGGTTTCCTACGAAAGCGCTTTTCAGAAAGCGCTTTCATAGGTATTTGAAATATCTAACCTACGAAAGCGCTTTTGAAAAGCGCTCTTATAGGTGGCTCTATAAAAGCGCTTTTTAAAAGCGCTCTGAAAGGGGGACCTACGAAAGCGCTTTCTAAAGCGCTCTTATATGGGGGACATACGAAAGCGCTTTTTACCTCAGAAACGCTCTCATATATGGGTCTTAGAAAGCGCTTTTAAAAGCGCTTTCGTAGGTTGTTTTATAATTAAATTAAATATCCCTAAATACGAAATTTGCCCTCACTTGTTCATTTCTTCGTCTTCTTCATTTCTTCTTCCTGTTACCGGAAACTGCTCAAAGAAAAAAAAACTACGTTCTCAACCATAGTACAAACTCACCTTTTTCTTTCCCAAAATTCATAAACTATCTTCTTTCCCAACGAGTTAATTTGAACCACCTTCGTTGTTCTCTCCATCGAGCTCAAAAACCTTCTTCTCTCCATAAAACCAAAATTCCATTCACGAAAGCAAAAACCCTAAAACAAAAATCAATTGAAATTGGAACGCAAAAGTCCTAAATATCCCATAAAACCCTAAAGTTGATTGAACCCATAACTCGAGAATCAATTGAAACCATAAAACCACTTTCACTCATCTTTTTGTTAATTCTGAAGTGAAGCAGAGCAACCTGTTCAGTTCACCAAGGTGAATGCAACAAGGTAATCTTAAGTCAAGACAACAACTTTTGGCCTCAGAGTCCTAACTTCCCACAGGTTTTCAATTGATCATACTTTGTAAATTAGGCTCACATTGATTTGGAGATTAAAAATGGATATGCACGCAATTGAAGTTCCATACATTGATTCTATATTGTGCCTAATCAATTTACATTTTTTGTGTATATTTATATGTGATTGATTTATAAAATATATTCAGTCTAAATCTTACAACTCTCTGATATCTGTTGGGCTTGTTATTGTGGCTTTGGTTTTTCTTATTGGTTATTGTTACAACATTTCAGGTGGAGCCAGGGTTTTAAAAAATGGTTTGCCATGCGAAACAGCTGTGACAAAATGGTTCGGAAAATGCCGATACCGATACCGTTTTCACAATTTTATATGTTATACATTATGGTTATGGTTAATTCACCCTGAGACAACCGCAATCAGAGTCGCGACACCGATACCAACCGAAATCGCGAAAGCCTTAACGCGACCACAACCATTTTTTAAAACCATGTGTGGAGCTAGAAATGATATTAAGGATGTGAGTAAACTTGAAGGTGGTTCACCATGTAAATTAAAATTAATACATGCATTGCCTATTTTGAAGAAAGCATGTGGAAAAAACATCCATACAGTTTTGCACGTTGTCACTAACACTTGTTATATGCTATCTAGTTTGTGAGCATAAGAGGATACAGAGGCTTGGAAAACATAACCATAAGAATTAGATGATGTAGGTGCAAAGTAAAAAAGTCTTGTACACAAGGGATTTGTGTATGTGGCTGACATAAGATTTCATTTACCTTACTGTGCAAAGTCATCTTCTCTTGTCATTGTCTTAGATGCATTGGATTACTTATATGAAAAATACTTGAATAAAAGCCCTCCAGAGTTAGTGAGGGTATCTGCTGTAACTGTGGTTATTTTTTCAGGTTATCTTGGTCAGTAGAGTTAGAATTGGAGTAGGTCCATATTGACCATGCAGCCAAATTGTGGAGCTCATTTTGGAGGATTAGGTTTCTCGTTTAAACAAGATTAGAAGAAAATGAAATAGTTAGAAAGAAGTTTCTGTAGGCTTCAGCCAAGAAGGCGTATACACCAACTTGCCAAGTTTTCAATCTTAATCATTCTTATAGAAACTTTAGCGTCTGACTCGACTTTTTGGTAAGAAGCCATACTGACAAAGCTGACACTTCAAGCATACAAATGCTAAAAGTTTCGACATACATTATGTACTTTATTTACTGAGAATGGTACTGAGAATGTGCTCAAAATACTATGATGCTTATGGCATTGTGAAATATCTTGACAATGAAACCATGTCGAAATTCGAAAGCATTATTCAAGGTATGGCAGCTAGTAGTCTTCGTTGCATCGCTTTCGCATATGCTGAAGTTGATGTTCAAGAGCTAGGAGATGAACGAGAAAACATCGGGATAGTGGTAAAAGACAATGGTTTAACATTGTTAGGACTTGTTGGTATTAAGGATCCGTGTCGTCCTGGGGTGAAGACTGCGGTGGAAGCTTGCCAACATGCTGGTGTGAATGTCAAAATGATTACAGGTATTTCAGAAATCTCTCATTTATTGATAACATGTTGTTGCACCAAACCTTTATAACAGTTTGGTTTTGGACAAACCATTCACGGTTTAGTCCAGTTTTATCGAACGATTGTAATGGCTCGGCTTAATTCAGTTATCAAATTATTAACTAACTCTATCTTGAATAACAGGTGACAATATTTTCACTGCAAAAGCTATAGCATTTGAATGTGGGATTCTTCAACCTAATCAAGACACAGATGAAACCGTGGTTGAAGGCGAACAATTTCGCAACTTCACGCACGAAGAAAGGTTAGAGAAAGTTGAAAAAATCAGTGTGATGGCAAGATCATCTCCATTTGAAAAACTTCTGATGGTTCAATGCTTAAAAGAAAAAGGGCATGTAGTTGCTGTAACAGGAGACGGTACAAATGATGCACCAGCATTGAAAGAAGATGATATTGGACTTTCAATGGGAATTCAAGGTACAGAAGTTGCAAAAGAGAGTTCAGATATTGTTATATTAGATGACAATTTTGCATCTATAGTAACAGTTTTAAATTGGGGAAGATGTGTTTACAACAACATCCAAAAATTCATTCAATTTCAATTAACAGTGAATGTAGCTGCACTTGTTATCAATTTTGTAGCAGCAGTTTCAGCAGGTGAAGTTCCATTAACAGCAGTTCAATTATTATGGGTCAATTTGATTATGGATACATTAGGTACTTTGGCTCTTGCAACTGAAAAACCTACTAAGGAATTGATGGATCAAAAACCTGTGGGTAGAACAAAACCTCTTATCACTAACATTATGTGGAGGAATCTTCTGTCACAAGCTATCTACCAAATAGTAATTTTGTTGACTCTACAATTTAAAGGGGAAAATATTTTTGGTGTGACATCAAAGGTAAATGACACATTGATTTTTAATACATTTGTTCTTTGTCAAGTGTTTAATGAGTTCAATGCAAGGAAGTTGGAGAAGAAGAATGTTTTTGAAGGGATATTTAGAAGCAAATTGTTTGTGGGAATAGTTGGTGTGACATTGGTGCTTCAAGTAGTGATGGTTGAGTTTTTGAAGAAATTTGCTGATACAGAGAGATTGAATTGGAGAGAATGGATTATTTGTATTGGTCTTGCTTCTGCTTCTTGGACAATTGGTTTTGTTGTGAAGTTGATACCAGTTTCAGATAAACCATTACTTGATTTTCTGAGTGTGAAGAAGAGATTATGAAGATTAGTTCATATTGTTAAGGTGTAATCTAGTTAGTTTTTGTGTTTACAGTTAGATTAATTTCCTATTTTATTTCTTGTCAGTTAGGTATGGTTTAGCATTTTTTAATTTTTAGGTTTTTCTAATTTCTGTGGCATTAGTGATTGTGTCTGCCCATACAGTAAAGATGTTTCTCAAAGGGAAGCACGAGTACCACGGTCTAAATCAAACAACATTAATTGGATCAAAGTACAGGTATATAAATTTCAACAATTTTGCTTATAATATTTATGCTACTTGATAAATCAATAGATGTGTATAATCTTATTTGTTTTTCTATGTAGTGCCCTCAACAACAAAACGGCATAGATTGCGGATACTTCGTTTTGAAGTTTATCAAAGAAATCATTCAAATGAATGAAATCGAGATTCCAATCACGGTATGGATTTATACTTTGTTTTATTACTTATCGGATTTTGCATATAATTTATTACATTAAACTAAATCATGCATATATTTTGTTTTGTAATGTAGTATTTTGATCAATACAATTGTCCATATTACTCGCCACGTCAATTGGAAGAACTCAAAGAGGAGTTGTGCCAATATTTTATTGAGCTAAGAATCTTATAATAAGGTACGAATACATTGTTGTGTGAAAATTGGTTAATTATGAATATATTGTTTTGTGTATACAACATTGGCCGTGTTATTATGTTCATATTGCAGGATCAGGATCTTGGATATATAAGTAGATTATGATTGATTTACTTAGTGTTATATAGCTGATTTCTTAGGGTGTATTTTGTTACGTTTAAAAACATGTTAATATTGAATTACCATGGTGTATATATATTTTGGATATGAATTGATTATAATGGTATTTGTATATATATATATATATATATAATATTTGGTATTTGAATTACATTTGGTATTTGGATTAAAACTAATATATATTGGTATTTCTAGATTAGATTGTAAAATACCGGTTTAAGAATTACAGGTTTGCTGCAAAAAAATGCAGGTTTAGAAATTTTTTAAATTTTAGATTTTTCAGTAGAAAACCTATGAAAGCGCTTTTAAGAAAAAAGCGCTCTCGTAGGCCTACCTATGAAAGCGCTTTTTGATTAAAAGCGCTTTCTTAGGTAGGCCTACGAGAGCGCTTTTTTCTGAACAAAAAGCGCTCTTATAGGCCTACTTTAGATTGCCAGACACGCATTCTGAATACACCTATGAAAGCGCTTTTTAAGAAAAAAGCGCTCTCGTAGGCCTACCTATGAAAGCGCTTTTTACCAAAAAGCGCTTTCATAGGTAGGCCTACGAGAGCGCTTTTTTCTGAACAAAAAGCGCTGCTAAAACCTTTAGCAGCGCCACCTACGAGAGCGCTTTTAAAGCCCAAAAAAGCGCTTTCGTAGGTTATTTCTGGCATAGTGTGATGTGTGGTTTGAAAAATAGGCAAGTGTTTTATTTTGCAAGTTGGCAAGTAATCAAGAGCTATCTACCCTAAATTTCTCAAAGATCTTTGCTATGTTTTAACCCTTTTGACAATTTTGTTCCACCATTGTATTTGGTGGACAATCTTGTGTTAGGATGTGAAAGGGACGGGCGTGGGTCATCGTTTAGACCATAATTGCAATGGTGCCAAGTATCTTTGGGCAATTTTCTTTAAGGGACTTGATCATTTTTAGGCAACTTTCGAAAGCATCATCGAGGGACTATGATCATTTGAATTGTGTTTGTTTTGCCCAAAGAGACCTAACATGCAATATGGCCCATTATTGAAGGCAACAAGCGGAATACCCTAGGGGTGCAAGTGTGATTGGTGTTGTCCATTTTCATGCTTGTTTATCTTGAATTTAGGTCCAACTATTTTTGGTTAATTGATTTGCATACAAACCCTAATTCTAACATGGCATAATTAGAAAGCATTTAAAGTGCGAAATTTAAAAGTTCCTAAGTTATTACAACACAATATATGGGAAGGTGGGGTACAAATGTTCAAATGAGGGTATTTTGACAAGAATTAAAACCCTAGACTATTACATCAAACTTGGAATCTTGCAAGGTATTTATTTACACAATATTCAAATAAAAACAAAATAAATATGCAAAAATGCAAAAAAAAAGGTTTTCATATGTATGTGAAAAGTATTTATCATGTATCAAATAAATAAAAATAAAAATTAATGTATTTTTGGTATTTTTATGGATCTAGGGTAAAACCCCAATTTTATAAATAAAAGTATTTATTATATAATATATGTAATATTTATTAATTATGTACAAAAAATAAATGAAAAGAAAATATATGAAAAAAAAAGTAATTTTTAAGTTAAATATTAGTAAAAAATAAAATGTATTATTTTATTGTGTTTTTAACCTAAATGTATTAATAAATACCTAAATATTTATAATATTTACTAAATACTAAATATATGTTTAAAAATAATAATATTTAATATTTACAAAAAAATGTATTTTTTATAAAAGTTTTTTCAAAGATAAAATAAAACAAAAGTCAGAAAATAAAAAGTATTTATTATTTTAGTATTTTAAATAAAAGAGTATTTGTGTATTATTTATATGTACAAATATCAATTTAAACAAATAAATGCCTAATAAATACAAAAATAGTTTGAAAAATATTTTTTATATTCTTAATATTATGAGAAAAAATAAATAAGTCAGAAATAACAAGAAAAGTCAAGAAAATGTTTCAAATAAGCACAATGGGCCAAGGGGGTTCAAAAGTGAAAATGTGGTGCAAATAAGAGAAATAAAACAAGCCCAGCCCAAAGGACCTTCTTCAACCTCTGGCCAGAAACTTGTCAAAAACGCGTGCCTCCTACACTGATTCAAACATCTTGATTCCTGAACTTTTAGCACAAACTCATAACATGAAAAATGTTAAGCATCAAACCACGATTCTGGACATATAAAGAACTCATCCTAACTCTCAGAAATGAGAGAGAATTTCTTCTCCCCCAATTCCTGACCTAGTTTTTATTCAATGTTCAGACTTAAAATTCTCTAAGCACACATAACATAAATGAAAACTAATGATATAGGCATGTTCAGGGCTATGAATGTGACATAATTTCTTCACAAATCTAAACCTAACTATGCCTGGATAGAGAGATAAGAGTTCATGAACTTACCTGTTCAGTTGGAAACGTGTGCAACAATGGAGATGCTTACAAGGCAAGGTAATGATTTGTATAGCTTCCTTGATGTCCCAGGATGCTATTCCAACCTTTAGTTTGCTTGAAACCCAAGTGAATCGTGTTATGGCACATCAACTGCAAAAGAAAAAATATGGAAATGGTGATGTTAGCTAGGGGTGTTACAGGTCGTGTTTAGGGCTTGGAACAGTTTCAAGGGATGATGTGGGATGTGTTTGAAGTGTTTTTGGCCAAGATGCACGATGGAAATGAGCTAGCCAAGTCCAAGTGCAGAATGCCCTGTTTTTGTGCAGTTTAATGGTGATTATGTGTTTTAGAATGTTTGGAACTTGGTTGGCTCGTGTTTCAGCTTATGTTTGATGTTTAGAAGGTGTACAAAATCTTTGCTTAAGCTTGTGTTTGCTGAGATGAGAGTTGGGAGTTGTTATGCAAGGTTACTTCAACTTTAAGCAAGAAAATCAACTTGGTGTTTCTAGCTTGTACAGGCCCCCAATCTATGCTGCATACATTAGTCTTGGTTAGAGTGATTTGTGTACAAAATACCAGCTCAAAAGATTGTGCCTATGCTTCTTGGATTTGCATTTGACATAAAGTTCAACTTTTCTAAAATGGATAATTTGCTTTTTCTACTTATGGCTTAATTTTGCATACAATGCTTGAACACATAAAATAAGGTCTTGGCACAATGGGTTAGCATTAAATTATTGAGTGCAAATGGGATATAGGACCTGTAATCAAGGAATGTAAGTTGAGTTCAAAATGGAACAAGTGTATGAACATGAAAATTGGCCATAAACAAAGTGACTTTTTCCCAACTTGCCAAATTCGATTCTCCCTAACCATGAGGTTGTTTGATGAGTTATTGGACATTTTGGAAATCTTGGAATGTGTACTACAATCCATCTTTGTAATGCAAATTGAAATTCCAAGTGGAAGCATGTGAAAAGTGGTCTTGAAGTTAGGCAAAAACCTTGCCTAAAATAGGTCAAATTTCTCTAAGTTAAGAATGGTTTGGTACCCTTGTTCCAAAAATTGTAACTTGAGCTACAAGCTTCTTTTGAGGAAACTTTGTGAATCAAAGTTGTAGATTTTGCAATGGACTACAACTTTCATGTTTTGACTTTTCCTTGAATCCAAATGCACCTTGATGAGAAAGTGGGACAAAGTTAGGAAAAAATTAGGGTTTTTCATAACTTAGAAAAATTCTAAGTTATGAAAAATCTTCATTTCAAACCCTAATTTGTGATTCTTGATTTCTTGATGAACAAGTTTCATGATTTGGCATGTTTTGATGAAAAATGAATCTTGACACTTGATTTTGACCAAAAAGTCAAAGTTTGACTTTTCAGTATACAGTCAAAAATTGATCAATTGACTGGAAAATTCAACTGTCAATCTTGTACATTTGGGATCTTTTGAGCTTGTTGAGTATGTCAAGACAATTCCATGGGGTCCTTGAGTCCATATGTGAGCTTGGTTTGCCATTGGCTAGGTAAAACAGTCAAAAATTGCCTTTGTGCAGTCAAAACCCTAAAAATGACCATTTTGCCCTTTTGGTGATCTGATCAAATTTCTTGTGGAATTGTGATCCAAACTTGATCAAATGGTCCATATGAGTTCATAATGTTGATGTGGGTCAATTTCCATGAGGTTTGACTGTCAATTGGCCACAGTTGACTTTTTCCCCAATACAGCTGATTTTTAGGTCAACTGTCCAATTGACTGGGCAAAGGTTGGAATCAAGGCTTGAAACTCGGTATGGATAAACTTGGGAGTTCAACATGAAGCATGAAAGTCATCTTAGGCATTTTAGGTCAAAATATCTTTGTGCAAAC